ACCACATGAAAGCTGAAACTGTATATTCCTCTCCGTGGTGCGGTAAACACACTCGCTTTTAGGTCGAAATGATTGCCAATGTTTACTAAGACCTGAAACAAAAGCAACATGGCGCGTTACAAATCCACTAGCAAACGAAAATGTGTGAATCGCCATATCACATTTACTTTTAACTCTGCAATTTTACACTGACACATGCGGATCTTTGAGCGCAATGTGGCAAGCTGTTCTAACATGTTTTCCTTACAACCAACCAGTAAATATTGTTGTTTTCAGATGTTTTTATTAGTATAAGATAATATAAGATTTTTCAGTTTCACTAGTAGGCTAGACTAACTGTTCATAGGCTACTTATTCCAATAGTGGGAAATAACCTTTTTTTTTTGCCATTGAATCTGTGGTCCAGATATCAATTCATTTTCAACTAGTATGTATTCAAATTATTGCTAGTCGATATTTCAGTTTTACAAGTACTATTCATTTGGACACTATTACTTCTTCTTTGGTTATTTGTAACTGTTTGAATGGTTAGCTACTCAGTTCCAGTTGTACTAGTACTTATTTATTTGACACTAGAACCTATTTAAAACTCAGGATCTATCCTGCTGGTTACAAAAACATGTCTTATCGCAATTGTTTACATGTTAAAGCGGCTTGCCATAAGCGCATTCCAAACCTGTCAACACGTCGGGTCAGTTTTAATTACTACAGGTCAATTTTAATGACAGCGGGTCGGTTATTGTTAATCTAAACACGCCTCGCTTGTTGTTAATCTAAACACTTGGGTTAAATTTCACATTTTTGACAGTACAGGCGACAAAAATGATTTTGCAACTAAGCAATTTGTTGAAAGATATTATGGAGACTATTAGGAACTTCACACATTTTATCTGACCAACACTAAATAGCCTACGTTTAATTAAATAATGTTAATTACCCTGAAAATCAAGATACGCGACTGAATTAGTTAAAAACGTACATCGTCCAATAGAATAGAAGCATTTGTCACTTCGTGAAATTTCTGGCTGAAATTCCTGAGCACAGCAATACATATGCAGTTCCTGTGATTACAAAGTCACCAGCGGGACACCTGACCTGGTCAAAATAGATGGTCATGGATGTGTTGCTCATCTCCGAAGGTTCGTGGTTTGTCCCTCTGACGGCCGAAAAAGCCACTTTGGCGCTGCCGGAGCGCACAGATATCCCAAGCGAAGAGGTGACTCCTCCATCAGAAGAGGGGTTGGAGTCGCACACCACCAGACACTTTCCCTCCAGAACAATGGGTTCCGTGTCATTCTGGCCCAGACAGAGCCCTATGCCACATCCCAGGATTAAGGCGAGAGCCAGCATGGCAAAGGGTCCGGGACAGGCTGCTGGCACCATGATCGGAACGAGAATCTTCTGCAAACTGATCTTAACCACCAGCCCCTTGGAGGTTTGATGTGGCTCTATCACCTGTTCCAAACTAACCTCTCTCTCTCACACTCACTTTCTCTCTCTCACTTACTCTCTCTCTCTGTAACTCACCGTCACACACTCCTTTTCTTCTCGTCTATGCGCATCAGTTTAAGGTGCTCAGAATATTTGCACAATGGTCCCTGAATGATAAAAAAAAAACGAGAAATCAGAACAAAATGTATAAATGTGTTAAAAACAATAATAGTTCATGAATACTAATTTCTCAGTGAATATAGCTAATCTCTCAGTATGATGCTTGAAGATAATAAATTGCGCAACGATGCGCAACACCTAATCACGACTAAAAATACAAGGTTAGCTGCGTTTAACTCACGTAAAACGTAAACAAAAATAAAGTTCTACAGTTCCGCGTTATCTTTTCCATAGTTAGTATCACTTCTATAACAATTACATACCTTTCCAATTAAATAATAAAATCAATGAATATCAACAACAGCACAATGAAATCTAGTATTTCATTCTGTTATCTTTTGCCTCATTTCTACTTGATGTTGTCCATTATGTTACCTGTTAAATCCATAGTTGGTGCAATCTGTGTGCCTGCTCCTTCAGCTGCCTTGAGAAGGAGTGAAGCGAGCACCTAATAAGAGTGGAGAAAACCAATTGCTCCTTCATTCTTTTTGGAGGGCGATTCACGCCCATCCCTTCTTTTCAAGTACAGTAATAATTCTGGAGCGGACGTTTCTGGACATAAAAGTCAGGGGCGGCCAGAATCTTGGATTTAAGAGTGTCTGCACAATAACAGCTAATTTATCAACCAATTTTTGGTGACATCAGTATTCGTTTTACATAGCAATACCAAACATATAGTTTTGCATATAGGATACAGTAAGTAGACCAGCTTTAAATTTGAAGCTGCTATTATATAGCTTAATACCAGAAAAATAGACATGCAATTTAGTAATATCAGAATACAGGTGCAATGCCTTCAGAGTCAGACAAAAATCTTGTGCTCCACCCTGTGGAGAAATAGTGCTATGATCCTCTGTCTGTCATCCACACTGTTCCCTCTTACTAGATCTCAAACCATATGTTTATCAAGTTTATATTTTTAAATAAACACTTTGAAATATGGTTGGTCTACAAGGGCTTGATGAATAATGGCTGGTCATAAAATGTCTAAGTTGTGGGTTGTTTTAAGCGATTCCTTAAAGAACCATTTTTGGTTCCCAAAGAACCTTTCAGTGATCACTTTACAATAAGGTAAGTTAACACATTAACTTACATTACCAAGCAATACGCAATACATTTGTTACAGTATTTATTAATCTCTGTTAATGTTGGTTAATACAACTTTTTATTTTGAAGTATTAGTATATGTTGAAGTTAACATTGTTAAGTGATTTAAAATATTTTTTTTCTTTGTTAGTTCATGTTATGAAGTTAAATATTGTTAATGGATCCTTGATAAAAGGTGTTACCAAGTTCTTAAGGACTCAACCATTTCTTCTTAGCGTGAAGAACATTTAAAAAATCTAAAGAACCATTTTCTGCTATAAAGTACCTTTTGAGAAATGGAAAGGTTCCATTGATGTTAAAAGTTCTTCATTAAACCATATGCCAATAAAGAACCTTTATTTTTAAGAGTGCACAGTAGAGCAACTTCTTGTATTAATAGACATATGTTGTCAAAAAAATAGTGAAGAAAATTAAAAACAATGAATCTCTTTAAAAAGAGACAATCTACAACTGAAAGTTGCTAAAACGTGGCTTCATACATCTGAGAATCGTCATTCTCTAAATAAAACATGTAATAGGCGATCAGTTTTGTGCTTTCTATCTTTTAAAAAGCGTTTCAGAAGAGCTCTGGAGTTGCTGTAAAGTGTATAAAGTGTGATGCTAGGTTTGACAGGTCTACTCAGTATGTGTTATGTCCACTGAACCCATTCTTAACCTCCCTAATCAATAGTTTGCCTAACTCTTCCACGTTGCTAATTGGAAATATTATGTAAGACGATCGCGACTGGCGCCTTCTAAAGAGTGAAATGGGGATACTGCATTAATTCATAATGGAATGACTCAATGTCTGTATTATATCTGAAGTATTGTATTCTTAGGACACTTGAGAGACTTTGCCTGTCAGTTCAAAACAGCAAATACTATCCTAACCATGTTTTATTAACACATTTGCAAATATAAATAGCCAGAACAATGGTTTTGAAATAGATTTCAAGTAAACTTCACCTGCAACAGTTAGGTTACGTTAGGCGAACTACTGACAGATCATGCATATTCCAGTCATAGTCAACATCATATGTCCTCACAGGCTCTCCATGCACCTTTTTTGACAAGAATCGCACTGTGGGTGCAGAGTGACAGGCTCTGTGGAGGTTGACGTTGAGTATCCGAGATCAGCGGCTGACCTAGGGCTTGCAGAAGGGCGAGAAAAAGAAAGAAAACATCAAATGTCAAACTTGGTGGGCACTGGGCCCTGAGCCATTTATGCCCACAGAGAAGAACTCCCCAACCATGAGAAACCGTACATTACTGTGAATGTTATGACTATTTCATCTGACAGGCAGCAGACCACCATCACTCTTGAGATCACCTAGACCATCATAAAAAAAAAAACATTCCCTTTGCTTTTTTTTTTTTGCTTTATTAAAATCTCATCCAATATATTTCACAAGGAATAGTTCACCCAAAAATGAAAATTTGCTGAAAATGTACTTACCCTCAAGCCATCCAAGATATGGATGAAATCCAGCTAAAATACGAGTCCTTCATAATATTGGTTTCTCCAGTGAAAAGGTTGTTTCTCATCTGAATCAGGAGAGAAATATGCACAAATCAAGCATTGTTTAAAAGTGATAACAGTCTAAAAGAGTTCAAAACAAAAATAATCATGCATTTTGAAGTGAGAGGACAATAGAGGGTGGATTTTTCACTGGAGGAAGTGTGATTGTGGATTACAGAAGTTATGGTTTAAGTTAATGCCTTGATGGATTTATTTCTTACAAATATGCAGCTTTTCGCCTCAAAAGACATTATACACTGGAGTGGTATGGATTACTTGTTGATTATTGTGATGTTTTTATCAGCTGTTTGAACTCTTATTCTGATGGCACCCATTCACTGCAGAGGATCCATTTTTGAAGCAGCAAACATTTGAAAACAAACAAACAAAAACTGGAATGAAAGGAATTAAAGAATGAACATTATATATACAATAAATAAATAAATAAATAAGCCTACTTTTTCAAATTGTTCACGTAGCATTAGAACCCCCGTGCGGCTCTCAGGGTGTTCATGGATCCTTCTGACCTGTTGGGGGCAGTATTTCCCCAGAATGTCACATCACCTGTTAGTAAAAGAACGTAGTTGTGGCAACAATGCTTTTTTTTCCCCCTCGGAATAGCATGTTATAGCTCTTCGCTGAACTGTTTAATGTCCTACCTAGTGTGTAAGACTGTACCCATTAAAAAAATAAAAATAAAAAAACAGACTCTGTGAGATGACAGTGCGCCTTGTGTAGTGCGATGAATGCAGTTAGCACCTGCGTAGAAGCGCGCTGGCCTGGTTACCTTGACGGCGAGATGCCGGAAGAGCGAGATTGAACAGATAACAAATTAAGAGGCACTTAAACACGCTTCACACGAGATACAAATTATGTTTTCGCAATCCGTGAAGACCCAGAGGCAAGATGCTGGGCAGCCTTCAATTATTAAATCAAAATCCATGTCCAGGTTGTTGTTGCTTCTATGTTATTTCGCTTCATTCTGGCTTTAATGCTTCTGCACTGCAGAGTTCTGCTAGATCGTTTCAGTGTGTTTGTGTTTAATTCTCTCAGAAAACAAAGAAAATCGGCTCTACAACATCCATCAGTCCACAGAATGACATCCAAACGCAGAGAAAAGACGTGTGAAAACTCCTTAGAAAGGCATGTTTTGCGAGTATGGTAACTTTTTTAGCCTCACGGTGACTCTCACCGTACTTTTTTTGTGTGTGTAATTAAAGTAGCTATATGCATGAACAAATTGTTATTTATTTATTGCTTGTTAAATAAGATGCCAGATCTCTATCTGTCTGTTCGTTCATCTATCATGTATCTCTATATATATATCCTTTTATATTTATCTATCTATTTGTTTTATCTGACTTAAACTAGGATGCCACTGGAGATCATTCTCAGGATTCTCTCTTACTTGGATACTGGGTCTCTTTTCTGCATTAGTTTTGTCAACAAGCACTTCCATGAACTGTCCAACAGCAAGTGCGTGAGTTTGTTTTTCTCCAGACCCCCTTTTTTTCTCTCTCAAAGCTAAAAAAAAAAATTAATCAAAATCATTTCTTCCTTATCCTAATGTCCTTGCAGTGCTATGTGGTATCAGTTTTACATCCATGAACGTACCAAAAAGAAGAAAGCCAGCCAAGAAGACCAGATGATACATGTCCTTGGTATGGTGGGTGTGCTGGAGAGGCCAAAGGGATACTGGAGAAACACGTTCTTCAAAGAAATTGCCGGCCTGAACTTGAACAAGTGGAGAACGAAACTACGACTCATTGACCCTTTTTCAGGACTGCCGCGTCATACAGAGGAAGTCATAAGGTTAGAGATTGTGGCTTTTTTGGTTTAGTTTATTTGAGATTTCACAAATATGTGGTCTAATTAAATGTGTAAATCTTAAAATCGATGTCTCTTGAAATCCCTTTTATATTTTATGATTATTATATCCTTCATTTAAGACTACGAGAGCATTGGTTTGGCGTGATGACACGTAATCTGTATGTTTCTTTATATAAATACGTATGCATAATCTATGTTTAGTTGTTTTGATTTAGCCTATATCTTTCATCTCTCTTTCTGTACATCCCTACATTTAGTAATACACAACAAGACTTTGTAGTCAAAATATCGTCTTTGTTGTGACCTATGTAATTTGTTGAAGATGGCATATCCCCCATCAAATATATGTCAGGGTGTGTTTTTCCCTCCTGCAGTGTCTGGGCTTATTAAAGGTGAGTGTGAGAGTCAGCGTCTTAGATTTGCTCTGTGCTCTTGGGCGATGGGATACGGAAACACGCTTGATGATCTGCAGGCTGCGGCGTGCTGTTGTCTTAACCTCTGATTAGAGCTGCCGGGCCACTCAATTTTTCGACTCAAAGAGCGTGTGGCATACAGGGGGAATGAAAGTAATTGTGGTCCCCTCAGAAGGCTGGGTGAATTGTAGAAATAAATTGCTTGGCCCCTACCTCTTGCCCAGACAAATCCCCATAGGTTCCTCAGTTACAAAGACACCGAAGGATCAGATTTACTTCGGTAATAATCATCTCCACTGACTTGCAGACACAACCAACTGCTATTAATCTCTCTGGGACTCTGCTTGTATCTCGTCTTACAGCGTTAATTGATATCATATAGTGCCAATGCCAGGCACATGATGCATCATATTAGGTATTTCCCCAAACTAATGCCCTGCTTCTTTCAGAATTAATGTCATTCATTGTTAGTATCTTGCTAAAACATACACTTCCCTGCTCTTAATCAACTGAATTAGGTTAATAACAGCACTGCACATCAGTCAGTCAATCGATATTTTTATTTTGTTTCCCAGTTAATCTTTCAGTTTTCATCTTTCCACATGAACACAATTTTGATTCTCAAAAAAATAAAAATAAATGAATAAATAAATACAGATTATTGTTTTTTTTAGCAGCCTTCTTTTTATGATACTTTGGCTCTTTACCTTTGATTCTCCACCTTTAAAAATAGTTTTGTATTTATGCATTTAAAATAGTTTGTTTCATTCATTCATTTTATTAACTTAATACAAATGTCTCTGAAAACAACATTATCTTTCAGTTTTCATATTTCAGAATTGTAGCAGTTTTGCAAGTAAAGACGTTTATCTTGTTTTAGGAATGTTCTTTTTTTTTACCCATTGGCAACATTTTTCTTATTATTGTAGGCATAAACCTGACTAAACTTTATAAAAGTTTTGCTTTATACATTTTATTCAATTCAGTAAAATGAATAATAAACTTAATTCAAAATATAGTCTCTAAAACAACATTATATTTCAGTTTTCTTAATTCAGAATTATAACTTTTGCAAGTAATGCAAATTATCTTGTTTTAGAGATGCTCATTTATAAAAAAAATTTCCCCCAGTTGGCAACATTTGTATTATTATTTTAAGCCTAAACCTCAATTTCTAACTTAATTAGACTTTTGCTTTATGTATGCTAAACAAATTAATTAATAATTAACTTTAGAATATAGTATAAAAAAATGACATTTTCTCAGTTTTCATATTTTAGAACATTTTTGATGTAATGTAATGTTTTATTATTTTATTATTTATTAGGTCTAAACCTTAATTTTTAACTTCATTAGATTTTTGCTTTATACATGCTTAAAAATGCAATTGATATTACACTTACTTAAAAATATAGTATTTGAAAAACAGTGTTATCTTTCAGTTTCATATTTCAGCATTATACATTTTTTATGCATAAGTAAAGAAGTGTATCTTGTCTTAGGGATGCTACAGGAACACAAGACATTATTTTCATCAGCTTAGTGTTTTCTTTTACGATACATTTGATGTTTTCTTTGTTGCATTCCCCACTTCTTCAAAAAACAACAAAAAAGGCATTGCCCTTAAATGATCTGAGAGCAGAGGTGTCAGATGTGGTTTGTGTCATGTGTGTCTGGCAGGAGTCTGTGCATTACATGGGAGATCACAGTGACTGATGGGAGAGGACGGCAGAGCACCTTTGAGCAGTCTCATGCCTCCTTCAGTAGTACGGCTGTTTTTGTGCTCTGGGGTGCTGTCAGTTGGCCTCCTTTCAACCAGCTCACCTCGCTTGAGCTTCATGGAGTGTTGCGGGTGCCACTCAATTGTCCTGCTCCTTACAGGTATGGTAGGTGCCAATTAGAAAGGTACACCTTTACTCCAACCTAAATGAGTGATGTAGTTGTTTCCATCTTGTGCCTTTCAGGCCGGGCTGGAAATCAGTTATGTCCAAAGTAAAGCTTCAAAGAGAACACAGTGAGTTGTGTGTTTCAGACAAGATTGTCAAGATGCTGTATGTTGGACAGGGCGTAACTTTGGGATTCTGGAAGGTATTTTCCAATTCTAGAGTTGACCTTGTTCATTGTCGAGAAAACATACATTTTGTGAGTCTTCTTTTATTCATATTGCTGTTTTATTTTGCTATTTTTTTTTTAAATTGTTGTTTTGTTTATGCATTTTGTTTATTTAGTGTTTTTTGCTTCTGTTGCACTTGATGTTTTGAATTTATTATGATATCTTAGAATCTTTTTTCAAAATAAATTCATACTTTTAATCAGCAATCATGCATTAATTGATTAAAAGACTAAAAACTTAAGAGTAAATTAAAAGACTTCCATTTTACAGAAGATTTCTAATTCATATAAATGCTGTTTTTGAGCTTTCTGTTCATCAAAACATTTTTACAAATGTTTTCAAAATAATAATGATAATGTTTCTTCAGCGGCAAATCAGCATATTAGAATGATTTCTGAAGGATCATGTGACACTGAAGACTGGAGTAATGGTTGCTGAAAATTCAGCTCTGCCATCACAGGAATACATTTCATTAAAAAAAAAATCTAAATATAAATCAGTTATTTTAAATTGTAATAATATTTCACAATATTACTGTGTTTTTGCTTAAATGCATACATTTTCAAAAACATGAAATAATTATCATCAACATTATTTTTTTGAATAGTAGTATATATATTATTATAATTATAATTATTATTATTGATAGTAGTATTCATAATATAAAAATAATATTTAATTTCAATAATACAAAATTGTTAATTCGGTGCTTCTATACAGGACCAGTGGGGAATTGCTTTTGTGATGGTGAACTTGCACAATCACAGACTTGTGGAAAGAAGTCTTCATGCATCTATTAGGTATTGCTGTATGTCCTCTTATCATTTATCTTTTATCAAACTTATATCAAGGTTTTTCCCCCCCATTTACAGAAGACTATTTTCACTGGCCACTGTTAAAGCCCTTCACAAACTTTAGTATGCATTTCATTTGCTGAATCCCTTTGGTTTATTTTTCTGATCTCTCTTTGTATATATATATCACAGATGTGTCAGAACCTAAATGTCAGTTATGTATCACAGTCAGTATAGTTTGGTGGTGTAATAACTCCATCTTCTGGTGAAGTTGGACACTGTACAGTTCTGACTCATCAGTTGTTAAACCACCTGATTTACCGCCATACTGTCTCTTCAGTCTTCAGTGTGAAAAGGTAAATTGACACCAACTTTGTAGTTAATCTCTTTTGTTCCCTCCTTTATCCTTCCTTCACACTACTAGTCCATGTACAGCAGCTGGAGTCAGTGCTTTGTTTGATGATGTGGACCCCGAGTATGGTCTCCATGGATACACTGCTTACATTGAACTGCACAATACAGTGAGAATCATCATGTCTGTCCGCTTTTCCCAGCTGTTTTGCAGGAGAGGTAAAAACAGACATAGTGCGCTGCACTGTAAGAAGAATAAGAGTTCAAAGGAACACTTGAATCATTTATAAAATAATGTCCCCATTATTAAAAAAAATAATAATTCCCCATTAAACTGATAGTTTACAGTCTGAAAACTGACATCCAACTGATGGTATAAAATAAATAATAGCCTTACAATTAAACGAATGAGCAGTTGGCTATTGCTACAGTTTTACACTATTCCGCAACAGTTGATTGTACTAGATGCTCAACAGTAGATGGCGCTAGATTCCCAAAAATATATCAGTGTTGTCCTGCTCTAAGCAAAATTAAGATGTTTTTACTAAGCCGTTATTTAATACAAGGACTTTGATACAAGTATCTAGAATTTTGAGTTTCTAAATTAAGAATTAAGTGTCACTTGTATTCTGTATATCTCATCTTTGGTAGACAACCGCAAAGTACCTTAGCATACCTCTTTTTTTACTCTCCAGATCAGATTTCTGATGGTTATCTTCCACTGGAAGTGATCAGTGAGAATAACAGATCTCCAAATATTAATCTGGTTGGAGACGTCAGCTTGCCTTGGAGGACTGAAGCTTTACATGGAACTATCAAGGTACAGAATCACCACACTGGTCCAATCATCCTCACTTTTTATTCACAGTATAAGGATGTATTTCATGATCTAATTGCTGTCTTCAGGACTGTTGCATGATCTGCCTCACTGTATGGGATGAAGCCAAGCAGCCTTTTTGGTGTGTCAGCGCTCCTGTTGTGATGACAAAAGAAAGTCAGGACACAGTATCATATGATTTTGATGGTGGGAGTTTCTCCATTCTATACCAAGACTCAGAGGGGAGGGTTGAGATGAGGCTGAAGCAGATGGAGAATAAGGAACAGTATTTTGTGGTAAATCTAGTGATTTACATTGCTGTCGCCAAAGTGAATAAGCACTTTGGGAGAGATTACTGAAGCCTTCGTATGCCATTTCAGTTTGTATGACGACCGTTTTACTATATTTGACTTAAGAACAAGCAGGGACGCTGCAGTAACTCAGGATTGTAGCAAGATTTAACTCCTGTCAAGATTATTGTAGCTTTTTCTTGTCAGGTTAATGTTTTGGTTGAATGTTTCTATACATTTTAATACACATAAATACACATTTTCACAGATCTTTATATTTGTAATCGCAGGCTATAAAAGTCATCCTGTCACAAAGAGAGGGATATTCATGTCAAGTTGATAAAATCTAAATAATAGAATAAGAGGAAACCCATAAAAAAAACGTTGAAACCATAGAATCAAGCTAAGGAATAAAAATGGTCCTTTGAGCGGATTTAAAATTGCCAGTGGAGGAGGAGGATCTAATATGAGCAGGGAAACGGTCCCAGAACTGAGAAATCTCCCTTACAGCGTGAACGGGACAGAAGGAAGTTGATTGCATGACCTTGGGGCAGAGTATGCATGAAGGAGTTTACAAATATATTGTGGAGAAATACCACGTTGGGCCACTTTTATAACTATAAGCAAATTGGTAATTATTGGTAATAGTTAATTTGATTCTAATAAGAAAGATGTGATCTCTTATTTTGGATTTTCACTAAAAGTCTCACTGGTGTGTACTGAACCATCTGGAGATGAGATTGAGACGGGCCTGCATACATATAGTTACAGTAATCAAGCTAGGATTGTTTCCAAGTCCTTTAAAAAAAAATCTTTAAATTTAGCAGCAGATCTGAGCTGAAAGATCCTTAATGATGAAACTAATCTGCTTGTTAAAAAAGACACCAAGCATCTTAATATTATTGTGCTAATTGTGCTAATAACTACTTACTGAAACCAATGATGAAAAAATGGTTATTATAGTTAATTAAAACAATTAAATAAATGTTATAAAAAAAAAAGAAAGTTAACTGAAATAAAATAAAAAAAAAACAAAAAAAACTTTATTTAATGTCAGCTAGTTTCCAAGGAAACATTTAAACATCTTAAATAACTAAAACTAAAAGTAAATAATACATTTTAAAGACATCTTTTAAAAACAAAAGCTAATAAAATGACAAACACGCAACAAAAGTACTAAAACTTTAACAAAAATTAAAATAGAAAAAAAAAAATGATGAAAAAACACTGGATGAAAGCTGGAGAACTAGTTTTTTATTGTAAAAAGTAAAACGGATTTCTTAAATAATTTTAATTGGAAAATATTTAATTGGACAGCATATGGAATAACTGACCTTGTCACCTAGGCATAAGTGAATGCATCTCATTATTAAAGTTTTTTTTTTTTTTTTGTATTGACATACTGTAAGTTAAGTTTATTGTTGTTGATCAGTTATTCATTGTTTTGAACTTATGGATTCATGATCATGTCAAAACCAAAGGCATTGAATCCACTTAACTTGATTTTCCTTTCAATCTTCATCAGGAATGGCACATTTTTTCCCCATTACACTTATTTCTAAATGAAATGATTTACATAATGGATCGTTTTGGATGGTGATGTGTTACTCTACTGGCAGAATGTTTCTTACTGTGGAACATGACAGAATTCTTGTATGCCTGGCGGTTGATTTCACTATATTATTCATAGGCAATAGACATTTTTCTGCCTTAGAGGTAGATTATGTTCTTTTGTCATAGCGTCAAGTTACACTTTAAATCTCCGCTGCATTGGTTTATGCAAATGTAATAGTCCATAACATTTTCGGTTGAAGTGCTTGACTTGGAGATGTATCACACCATAACACAGAGGACATTAAGAGTATGTAATGGGATTTCAGTGTGTGACTCTGTGAACAATATTTTCACATCATAAAATGAAAAAATGCCGTGACTTATATAGCTTAGCAATGTTCATTTGGCAGCAAAAGTCTCTGGAAATGATTGTACACACTGCAATGTTGTTATTGTGCAGCCTCAGCATTCCTAGCATAAGACAATTGCATTCAGGAGCGGTATATAATCATGACATGTCTCTTTACTGCAGGAATTTTGACACAATTCCAGAGTCGGAATAATGTTCCGCTTAGGTCAGTAGTAATCAAAGGTGCCAAACTTATACGGTTGGCAGAAGAGACAGACATAAAAAAAATGTATAGTGGCGTAATAAGATTGCCTAGCGCTCTCTCTTTTTCCTTAGAGGTCAAGCTAACCTTGAAAACTGCTTTTTTCAACATATTCTGTGTCGTGACTGATCCAGATCCATTCTTTCTGTAGGCTCAAATGAATTGGCTTCTTGTCATGTCTGAGGCTGTATTAAAGGTTTGCCTGAAGGTTAATACCGCTTATGTTGCCCCAATATTTCAATGGTTTATTGTACTGCAGCAGATGAACAACAGTGCAATGCAGCTATTTTAAGGCTGACCCGAGGCACATTTTAGTGTAGTAAAAACACTTTATTCATCTGGTAATATAGTCTTTACAAGTCATGAAACACCTGCTAGATCTGGTAATCCATAAAAGAGGCACAAATAGTAATGAGTTAGCAAAAGCAAGTACTATAGAAATGGCCGTAGTAGAATGGCAAGTAAAGTAGTAATGGAGTGTTTTTGATTAGAGAGCCCAGTATTGGTAATATTGAGTAAATGAATGTAGTAGTTGCTAAAATGTGTGCAGTGATTCATGCATTAAAGCAGGGGTCTCTAAACTTTTTTTTTACATCATGGACCAGTTTTGAACCAGTTTCAAGCACCAATGAGGAGGGTTCGATGTGGCAAATGTCCAATCTGCTCCGTAACTAACACAGTGTCTACACCAGACATGACCACTGTTCCTCGTGCCGCTTATTCAGTGTAGACAGAATCACTGTGTATAATAAGTTTTGTCTTCAGCCGCTCACGTCTAGTGTAGACACTGTGTTATTAGTTTCAAGATACAGAAGCAATTTTGAAGGCTTCATTGACCCATTAGACAATATGTTTCCACATATTACACACAAGGGGTTTGGAGCATGTGAACTGCTCAACAAATAGTCAACATATTTACGGTTAAAGGTTGCTTTCTTTCTTCCTTTTTCTTGTCAGTAGCTGTCTCTCCGTTATCACCAGCACTTGGTCTTTTCTTACCTCCTCAACCAATGAGGAGGGATGTTTAACACTCATGTTAAAAATTTTAAATTACCTGAACCTGTTGCAAGTGTGGAAATTATGTTTTCTGAAATTGCAACGTATGTCAATTTGGATAGTGGATCTTAAAGGGCAAAACACACAATAAATAATGTGTCATATTTTTCCCAGAATGTTCTTGCGGCCCGGTACTGGGTTGGGACCCGGCGATTGGGGACCTCTGCATTACAGGAATAATTCATCCAAAATTAAAAATTTGCTTAAAATTCACTCAGTCTCAGGCCATCCAAGATGTAAATTAATTTGTTTCTTCATCGAAAGAAACAAGAAATTTGTTTAGAGAAATTTAACATTACGTTACTTGCTTACCAATAGATCCGTCGAATGGGTGCCATCAAAATGAGAGTTCAAACAGCTGACAAAAACATCACAATAATCCACATGTAATCCACACGACTCCAGTCCATCAGTTAACATCTTGTGAAGCAAAAAGTTGTGTGTTCGCAATAAATCAATCCATCAAGACTTTTTTACTCCGAACTGTTGCTTCCAGTATGAGTCCTCAATTCATAACATTGCTTTCTCCAGTGAAAAAGTCGTCTAGTCTGAAACAGGAGAGAAATGTTCACAGATCAAGCTCCCATTTACAGTACAAGCGTAAACAGTTCTAAACAAGTATTTTGTTGGATTTTGATGCGAGAGGATGATAGTGAATGGACTAAAGGAATGGAGCAGAATCGTGGAATGCTTTTGGATTATTGTGATGCTTTTATCAGCTGTTTGAACTCTCATTCTGACGGCACCCATTCACCGCAGAGGATCCATTGCAAGTGATGTAATGCTACATTTCTCAAAAACTGTTTTGATGAAGAAACAAACTAATTTAAATCTTGGATGGCCTGAAGGTGAGTACATTTTCAGCAGACTTTAATTTTAGGGTGAACCAAGTATACTGTGCATAGTATTCACATTTTCTGAATAAAATAGCTGGTTGACCCACTACATTTGACAAAATATGCAGTATACATCACTATTTGATCAGCCAAATGTTTAAACATTTTTGCACAAAACCATTTTCATTACCAAGATTATAAAAGGATTTACTAGCTGAATTAAAGATGCATTAAACAACGGTAATTGTGGAGTTATGCCTGCTGTTTCTTTTATTATTTTCATCAGTTGGGCACTATACACTGTATACTGCACAGTATTCAATAAATTGTTAGCTAGTATTTAATTCCAACCAGCCTCTCTTTACCCAAAAGATAACATTACGTCTTTCCAGCAGATGGCAGCCTAGTGAAATGAATTTCTGTTGTCATTACATAGACATTGAACCATATCTATATTAATTAACATTTTTTTTTATTTTTTTTTTTAGATATTAATCAGCAGAGAACAGAAGACTAATGCAGTATTTCTTATGAAATTTTTGCACTAAGAGACTACTGGGGACTTACAAAGAGAGTTATAAATGTGTCTGAGATGGTCAGAAAGCTACAGTTTACAGATAAAATAATACTTTGTTATTGTGAGCACAAAATCAGTTAGATTACTAACTGAACTTTCGATTTTTGGAAAGGAAACCGCTGCCATTTTTACCATCTAATAGCATCTCTAACGACTGACCATGCAGCTGAGACCTGGATGAAATCAGCCTCTTAAACAAAATAATTTATCAAAGTGGCTGAAAGAACATTGAACCCCCCCAAAAAAACAAAAAAATAAATAGTTATGCTTGAATGAATCAGTGCAGCTTTTTAGCCCACACAGTGTGATTTTAATCACATCATTTTATTAACATGCAGCTGAAAACTCCCAGTGGCATTTTGCAGCAACTTGGCGGTGTTCGCGCCCCCCTGATTAACATTTAACTCTGATCTGGCGGGACCTTGTTGCTACAATTAATTCTCTGTCATCCCAAACTGAGGTCACATGCTAACGAGGCCGCAGCCTTCACTGTGTAACGCCGCTCTGTGCTGCCATTTAAACGAAGGCACATCCTTACACTGCTCATTTAGTAACTCTGTTAACACATTAATACTGAAATATATCTAAAATAACTTAATAGTTTGGTTACTGTACGCAAGCCCCTCTGGGCCTTTCAAACTGTAGTTTTGACCAGAGTTTGAACCTTGACCTGGAGTGCAACTTCATTTACAACTTCCTATATCCTGCTCCCAAGGCAATAGGAATTGGTTTGTTTTTGACATTTATATATATATATATATATATATATATATATGATACAGGATTCTTTGATGACAAGAAAGTTCAAAAGAACAGAAATAGAAATCTTTTGTAACATTATAAATGTCTTTACTGCCACTTTTGATTAATTTAATTCATGCTTACTGAATAAAAGTATTAATTAAAAAAAAAAAAACATTACCCCAAACGTTTTGTCAATAAGGCACAATGGGCTTTAATTAAGCCTAATGCTGGCTCAAGCCTGATTAATATTAATACCACCTTCCGACAATTCTTTTATTTGTATATAGCTGACAAAAAAATAAAACAATTTTGCTCTGCACTGTTAACAAACCTTGAGTGAACTATTGCAGTCTGTGATGAAGGTTAGTTGTATTAATATCCCCATTCAGAAAAGCATCACTGTGCTGCCTTGGTTCCAGAAGGATTTAAAAGCATTTAATGTGAACTCCCATTTCTGTCTAATCCAGTTTACAATCATATTTAGGGATTTCTTTTATGTTTGTTTTTTAAATTCACTCAGCCTCCCGTTGTTGGTCCCAGGAGTCCTCATA